CCTGCGCGAAAGTTATTAAAAAGGTGAATGTAACTCAAATGCTAGAGCGCTCGCTTCGCATGCGAGAGGTACAGGGATCACTGCCCCGCATCTCCATATCTTCCGTAATTGTTTTTCGCTTTCTGCAGAAAAACTATTGTATATTGAAACTTCATGCCAAAAGCAGACTTTCCGAGAAAAAAACCTCATAGTTGCCGACTGAGCTAAAGACCTACGCGATAGATATCAATATTTTGGATGTAGATCAAACTGTAGAGCGCTCGCTTCGCATGCTAGAGGTACGGGGATCAATGCCCCGCATCTCCAAAACTTAAGAACTTCCGTATTTATTTTTCTTTTTCTGCAGAAAACCTATTGCACATCGAAAATTCATTCCAATAGCAGACCTACTAAAAAAAACTCAGAATTGCCGACAGGACTAAATACCTACGCGATACTTTAACACAACGTGGAAGTATCCCGAATGGTAGAGCGCTCGCTTTGCATGCGACAGGTACGGATATAAATGCCCCGCTTCTCCAAAACCTGAGACCCTGCGTAATTGTTATTCGCTTTTTGAAGGAAAACTATCGCATATTGAAACTTCATTCCAAAAGCAGACCTTCTCAGAAAAAACCTCATAGTTGCCAACTGAACTTAAGACCTGCGAGATAGTTAACAACATCGGGGATGTAGCTCAAAATGTAGAGCGCTCGCTTCGCATGCGATAGGTAAGGGGATCAATGCCTCGTATCTCCAGAGCTTCCGTAATTATTTTTCGCTTTCCGAAGAAAAACTATTGCATTTGAAACTTCATGCCAAAAGCAGACATGTTGCATAAAAAACTCATAATTGCCGACTGGCCAAATACCTACGCAAATGGTAGAGCACTCGTTTCGAAAGCGAGAGGTACGGAGATGATCGTCCTGCATCTCCATAACCTGAGGTGCTGTGTAATTTTTATTCGCTTTCTGAAAGAAAACTATTGCATATTGAAACTTCATTCCAAAAGCAGACCTTCTCAGAAAAAACCTCATAGTTGCCAACTGAACTTAAGACCTGCGAGATAGTTATCAACAACGGGGATGTAGCTCAAATTGTAGAGCACTCGCTTACCATGCTAGAGGTACGGGGATCAATGCCCCGCATCTCCAAAACTTAAGACCTTCCGTATTTATTTTTCTCTTTCTGCAGAAAACCTATTGCACATTGAAACTTTTCATTCCAATAGCAGACCTACAAAGAAAAAACTCAGAATTGCCGAAAGGACAAAATACCTACGCGATACTTTAACACAACGTGGAAGTAGCCCGAATGGTAGAGCGCTCGCTTTGCATGCGACAGGTACGGATATAAATGCCCCGCTTCTCCAAAACCTGAGACCCTGCGTAATTGTTATTCGCTTTTTGAAGGAAAACTATTGCATATTGAAACTTCATTCCAAAAGCAGACCTTCTCAGAAAAAAACCTCATAGTTGCCAACTGAACTTAAGACCTGCGAGATAGTAACCAACAACGGGGATGTAGCTCAAATTGTAGAGCGCTCGCATTGCATGCGATAGGTAAGGGGATCAATGCCTCGCATCTCCAGAGCTTCCGTGATTATTCTTTCTTTAATCTTTCCTTCTTTAAAAATGATTCAGATAACTTTACCAGCTTTTATATGCAAAATTTTTCAAGCTTCTTATTTTTATTTCCAAAGTTTTCTTTATAATTCTCAACCCATTTTACAGTACTTTCGAAAAACCATTGAACAACCCACTCTTGAATGCCCCATTTGCTACTTACCAAAATCCAAATTCAAGAAACAACATAATAACGAGCCACATCATCCACCACACTTTATCTGTATAGACTGTCATGAGCAAATTGTAGCCCATTTTTCTAAGTATGGACAGATGTACCCAATCACTTTCATATTATTCCCCTTGTTGTTCATGCGATAGTATGGTTAAAAGCGCAAATTGGGGAAGTACCCAGACCCAAAGTATGGCAAGCTATCAACATCTTACTGCTTGCCATCAAGGTATCACTATTTGTACAAGATGCCTCCCTAATACTGCAAAATTTTGTCCCTTATGCCACATCCCTTGTGATTTTTCCGACCCCTGGAAATAATTCTCCACACTATATGATGTCCTTATATAATTCCTCTACACTCCTACATTTGGTAAGGCCTCAACCCTTCAGTAATTCGCTCACAATTTATATATCTTTATAAACAACAGTAAACACAAAATATCCTTTAAACATGCTATATTATATACTATTTACCCCCCCCCCCCCCGGTTTTTTCTAGTCCCTTTTACCTATAAAAGGGGACCCCATGGTGAGCCTGTGGATGACCCCAGGTGGACATACATTTAAGATTAAGGGTTAATTAATGCCCAAATTTCCATTTTTTGCTTTAACTACTTTTGCATTTTTGCTTTAAATTTCATATCTGAGCTTAACTCAGTGTTGTAAAGTGCTTTATTCCTGTGGTTAATAAACACCATGATCGTTTTTCTTCATTTGTTTTCCGTGGTGGGTTTGTGTGAAACCACAAGATTATATTTTCCACCTTTTATATATATAAAATTTTACACTTTGTCCTTCATTGTTCAAACATTTGATAATTAGCCTGAATATCCGAATGTAATTCGGGATTTTGAATATTTGGTCATTTTATATTGATGTTTAGCAAAATGGAATATGACCCAATTTTAAACTGGAACTGCAGAAATGCAGACCCAGCAACAGAGGAGTTTAAAAGAAAGCTGCCTCTCAGGAAGAAACAACGAAAACCTGTAGCAGTACAATCTTTGTCAATGGACGACGGGTTAAATAAGAACCCTCGGAATTTTCCCAGTTTGACTCAAAGATTGGAACTGCAGAAGTGCAGAGAAGCCAAATTAGATACGGAAAATCCAAAATATATAACGAGTTTAAAGTACTCAATAAAGCAAAATTATAACAGATGGAAACTCAACGACAATGGAAAAGGCGAAAATGCCTATCGATTTCATAACCCAGAAAGAAGTGGTTATAAAGAACGAAACCAACTTCTGGAAATTAAAGAAGAGGGAGGAACACGGCTACATCCTCAAGGCAGGAGGCACGCAAGTCACCATCCCGTTTGAGGGAATAACTGCCTTTCCGAACCATGTAAAAAACAAACAGGAAGAACAAGATGACAATCAAGAACTTACGGACGGAATGAGCAGACTACGAATCAAGAACAAAATCAAAAAGAAAAAAATCTTGAAGTTGCAACAAAAACTCGAGGCTTCACAGAGGAAGATAGCGATCCTCAGATCATACAACGTGGAGCTAGAAGCCGGAAGGAAGCTCTAGATAAAACCTAACCTATCTTAATAACTTTTTCATTTGATGTTCTTTTTAAATTTTATAACTATAGTATTTAACCATTAAAGTGTTTAAATTTTCACCATGGTAACTGTAAGAATCGAACAGCTTAATTTTCTAAAAAAAAGGGGTGAGTTGTAGTATTGAGAAATACTACACAGACAAAAGACCATTGTCTTAGTTGTTTATTTAACGACCCAATTCTAAATTGGAGCGTGCCATTTAAATTAAAGCCTCTTTTCACTAAATCAGATATTGACTGATTTACTCTTATTAGGACTATAAAATCTTGTTTTGAAAATCCACTCCTTTTTAAATACTTGTCCAATTTTTCTCATTTTTTCATGCTCAATATTTTAAAAGGGCGGCGATTATTAATACGTCCCTTTTAACTTAACTTGAAACAAACTGGATAAATATTTAGCAGTCTTGCCGGCTGCACTGAAATTCTCCTTGCTTTGATTAAGCAGAGATGCACCTGCAATATGATTCATCAGAGAGAGTAATATGAAATTTTAATCAGACAAACTGAAGGCTGCGGTTTTTATCAAAGGGGACTAATTAGTTAAAGATATTTGAGTTGAAAATTCCCTTATAAGAAAGGGAGAACAAAGGAGCAGGTGAAACCTGAATAATTAAAGATTGAATCAGCCGCTGGTTTATGCTTACGAGCAAAAGGACTGGCCTGAAATCTTCAGTGTTTCATTTTGCTCAGTAAGCAGCAAGTTAGATATCTTCAGTTAGACCTTTTCAAAAAATAAATAATTTTTCTTTTCTGCCTTTACAGTAAAATTAAACTAGTCTTTTTTCACAAATAAAATAGAGAATAAATTCTCATTTCAAGTTCGATAAAATTATAAATCGAGATACTCGAGATAACCACACCTGAGGAAGTCTGGACTACAAGTACCCAAAGGACTACGGCAAGACGAAACTGACAACCAAACCAGAAGTGCCCATTGGACAAAATCAAGGGCAACCCAAGAAATACTACTCAGTCATCGACCTTACTAAGAAGATAAAATATTGATGAACAAAATAAGATTAACTCAACCTCCCCTCATAGGAATATTTCTTTAAGCTGTTCGATTCGTTTATATAATCTAATTACCCAGTGCTTTGTATTTAACCAACTAATTAATTCATACCTTCTCTAACTATTGTTTCTACTCTACTTTTTGTCAAGACAATTTGACGATTTAAGGTGAGACTTATAACTTAGGATAAAATTACTAAGCATTCAACCAGCAATGAACGCTTAGTAAACTAACAACATAAGTAAACTAACAACATACTGGGTAAAAACGTTTTTAGTAGGAGAATAACTTTATGCGATTCGATATGAAAGCGGTCTGACAGAGAACAGTTTACTATTGGTCTATGGAATATGCTTGCTAATATTTTTACTTACATTCATATTCAATGCACAAGAGATTAAGCGTGAACCGACAGATCTAAATGAAACTCCGAACGGGACGCACGATGTTTGGAAACTGTCAATAATTTAATGTAAATCCACTCCTCTTTAATTTTCACTCAACTGAAGATGATTTACACTTCCTTTAATCCAGGTAGCGATCTAAGATAATTCTGTTTGAAAACATGCTTTTAGTGATTGCAGACTTCATCTCGAGAGAAAAAACTTTGTAGTTAAATTGGAAAGCAAAACTGACCTTAAGAGAGAGGTCAAGTGGCCTATTTGAATCATTCCCGTCAGTTTTACTTCGTTTCAATGTCCTTTTCTGATTGGTTGATTTAGAAGGCATCTGATTGGCTGATTTGGAACCAAGATGATTTGTTCTTGTCAGTACTTGATCAGACATTATCTTCAACACTACTGAGCCTCTGCATGGTTCACTAAGAGGATACTTGTCGACCAGGAATAATTGAATAACTTGTCCGGCTTCAAATTTCTTGAGCAAGGATGCATCACAATTCAGAGACACTTGAAATAAGTCTCGGTTCATTTTAGACACCTGAAAACAGTCGACAACTTAGCCGGAGACGAAATCTGCAGAAAATCCAACCCAAAAGTACTGAGAGTGCCATACTTGTTGGGTCCCCAGTTACAAAAAAAGTACTGGAATTCAGGGGCAGATTTCGGGGGCGGGGTCGAGCGCCCCCTCTCAAGGATTCAACCCACTGCTACCCAAAGAGTCCCCCATTTGGTACTTTGTTAGCACATCCAATTTTGTTTGACAAAATTTTTTATAAAAACGCCAATATATACTAACTTTGAAGGGGAGCGCGCGCCGAAAAAACTCGATTTTTTGGTAAAAATTTTCCCAAAAGAGCCTAAAACGTGTTTTTTTTGCCTGTTTTTTTTTTAATTTGCGTGCGGCGCAAATAATTGGTAACATGGGGGTCTTTATTGCAAATCTGCTCCCCATCGAGAAAATCAGCCCCCCCCCCCCCCCCGTCGAGAAAATTTTGGATCCGCCCCTACTGGTTTTATTCATATTAATGGTTTTATTCATATCCAACCCAAAATTAATGAGAGTGCCAAACTTGTTTGGTAGCCAGTTACAAAAAAAGTACTGGGATTCAGGGGTAAACAGAACTTGGTCGACTGAGTTTACAAAAATCAGTGGAGAAACTAATTCTGTTTTTGGCGGTTTCGTATTTTACCAAAAAATTCAGAGCGTCAATTTTAAGTCGAAAAGTATTGATTGTCGCCAGAGTTCAGAAATTAGAAATGGACTTCGGGTATCCGTTTTTCTAGAAGACACGCAGAAAATACGAATCCGTAAATATAGCTGATAAATCAGATTCACATATACTTGTCAATCACAATCTACACCTTAAGAAGATATTGAAATTCATTCATACATAAAATCAGCGGCGGGTCGGTCCAGAATTTTGGCGAAATGTTAAAAAAATGGTATACGCTTTTGTACATCATCTTGCAACAAGAAGAGCTTAAAATGATCTTAATGTCGCTGGGTAACCGTAATACACGTAGTAGAGAAGGGAACCAGGAATGGTTTAGTTGGTAAAAAAGAGGGCTTTCTTTAACGGAGAATGGCAATGCCTCTGCTACCAAAATTTCCCGTATAAATCCATTCTGCTTACAAAGAAACAAAAAATTTAAAAACGTTTATAAAAATTGTTTCAGGTTGTTACTTTTGAACTGGGTCGACTGAGTTTACAAAACAAAATCTTCTTTACATTAAAAACTAGTATTCGAAATAATAATCATGAGTTGTCGAAACCTATTTCATGATTATCATGATTCTGGGAGTACTATTCAATGCACATTAACACTGATGAAAGTCAAACATCTAGTCAGGGTTGGAAAAAGTCATTAATGCTTGTCACTTAGTAGCCGCTTTGTCCGCCAACATCTGAGCTGAATCTTTCTCCAATTCGTGCTTTTTCATCAAATGAACCTTCAAATTATCTTTTCTGGTAAATTTTTGTCGACAAACTTCGCATTCCATTTCTCTTCTGGCGTGAACAGTCTGAAAATGACGTTTAGCACTACCCAATTGGTCGAAAAAGCCTGAACAAAGGGGACAAATGATTCGTCCATCGGGCATTCGGCCAAACTCCGGGTTAACCGAACCCGCAGTTAGACAGCTCTTTGTAACATTGTTAATAGTTGAAAGCTTTGTTACCTAAAAAACAACAGTAAATGATTAAAACTCGCTTGTTTTTCTTAAATAGCTGAGGAAACAAAGATTTTACATCTAAATTTTTTCACGATTCCCGTTAAACGAAACTTTGAATACAATTTTTCTTCGCAAAATTAATTTTTTCCAAAAATTTAACCTGGACATGAAGTCAATCAGATAAACTATGGAACGCTTAAAAGTTACAACGAACCAGGCAAATATAGTAAAATACTGTAGGAGTCAAAGGGTTTAAAAATGAGAGTCTAAAGCTCATTTTCAATAGCCCGTAGGTCTCTATATGCAGACCTTTGGTAAAATCTTTGAAAAGGGAAACTCTGGGTTAGGTAATGGTGTTATTGCTATTTTTCAACACAGGCGAAGCTAAGCTCCGCGCCACTTGCGAAACAAAACAAGAGAGCCACTATTTCGGTAATGAATTCCAAAACGTCGAAAAACTAGATCTATCAAAATGAATAAGGCTAGTTTTGAAACGAATAGCAAGCAATAAAAAAGCCAAAAAGTTACTATTAAGCTGATAAATCCAGGTAAAAAGTAAGAAAACTCTTAAGACATGACTTAAGACTTATAAAAAGACTTGACTTATTAAGACTTTAGACTTATTAACTAGTCCCCCTCACCCTCAAAACAAACACACGCAAAACTTCATGTGCTCGTCATATCAAACAATATGAGTCCACTTAGTCAATATAGTACAGCCGGAAACCCATTAAGCCGAAAAAAAGGAAAATGAATAAGTAAAAAACTCAAAAAATTTAGACTAATAAAAAGTTATTAAGTCCCCTGACCCTCAAAACTCACATACACGCACATACAAAGTGTTTTTGCACGTCGAAATACGCAATATAAAGTAAATCAAAACACTATAAATAACAACAATGTAACTTGCGTACAGCAAAAAACATAATATTACTTGCGTCCTGCTTCAGCAGGATGGCGTGCGCATCAGCATACCTCCAAATTCACGAAAGTCCGAATGTCCCAGAAAAAATCTTTAAGTCGTGCAATGGCCGCCTAGCTCCGCGAATCTTTCACCCAATGAAACTTTGAGTGAGATCATGAAAGAAGCTCTGGAAAAGGAAACACTTCATAATGTTACAAAATGGTAGCACAATTACTCCAAAGCTAAACAGATTACTACCAAAGAACTAGCTTTTAATTCGATGAGTTGACACTTAATACTTGAAGGATGCCAATTTTAAAATAATTGAAAAACAAAACAATTAATTTATTCGATAGATGTACAAATTATACAGCAAAGCTTGGCTGTACTGCTAATATCCATTTTCTGCCGAATAACGACTTTAACGATTTTGATTGATTGAAGTTTTTCCATCATTCAGTCCTCCATCATGACAATAGTCAGGTTTTCGTTATCCAAGAAAAGCTAAGCAAACTTAACATATACCACGTGTTTTACTGTCTACCTTCTATTGTGTGAAATTCAGTTTTGCTTTGTCGTGTTTCAGTTCTGAGAAAACTAAATTCCAGCGGGTCTCAAACTTGCCGGCTGCTTTTTTGCGCAATATTAATTCTGGGAAAATTTAAACAACGTTTGGTTCCATCATTTTTGTCTAATTTTAACCCAAATGAGACAAAAGCGTATGAAATTTTCAATTTTGTTAGTTTTTTCTGGTTACTTTAAATCAGCACAATTTAGGCGAAACTACATAGTAGGCCGTGGAGGTCAGAAAAAAATCCTATTTTTTCTTAAATTTTTTGGCTTGTTTTTGTTCCGACCATTGAAAATGGGGAGGAAATTTGTATTCGGGTGAATTTAAGTTTTATTCTGTTTTCCAGGCAAAATTACGTAACACAAATAATCATCGGAATGGGTCGAGTGATACACCAAATTAAAGCCCTTTCAGTCGTGATTCGAAAAACTTGATTCGAAAAATTTTCAAAAAATTCTCCCAGTATCGAAAACTAAAAATTTTAGTTCATTTTCGAGCGAGTAATGCGATCTAGTAACGATCGTTATATGATAATTTACTTTTATTTAGAATTTTAGGCTAAAAAATCTTAATTTTACTATAAAGAAAACTAGTTTTGGATGTATAATTTAGGGCTTCCTTGACAACTAAATTTTCTGTAAAATTTAGAAAAAACGTTTTTTTAAATGAATACATTTGGAAAATTATGTGCTACTTGCACAGCAACAAGCTATCCTTGTTCACAATGCCTTCCCCCACTGGAGCTCAGTTTTGAATTTGAGAAAGAATTCGAAAACAAAACAAACCTTTAAACCACTCGTTTTATCCGAGTTTGAAACAGGTTTTCGTTTCGCAGCTTGACTGTTCTTTACTAGTGCTGAAAAATTCACAGCTGATTTCGAATTGAATTTTGGGTCATCCATCAACTTCAACTTGACAGAGCCGACAGACTGATGATGAGGATCCGTCTCCACCAGAAAAAGATGCAAGTCATCATAAATAAGCTTTTTAGTGAACAACGCATGATCACACGTTAGTTGCACAAAAAATGACTCGGTCATTTGGGGCTCTGAAAATAAAACATCATATCGATTCTATTCTAATGCATCAAAAAATAGTTATGCCTAAACAAAAATTTTTAGTTTGAGGGTTGAAATGTTTTAAAAAGTTTTATGTTTTGCGAATTTTAATGTTTTTATAATGTTTCAAAAAATTTTCGAGATCTAACAAAGACAGCCGGTTACAGTGCAAGTAGCACAGAATGTTCCGACCATAGTCTTACAAAATAAACAAAGTTTTTTTCTTTCAAACTAGTGTTGTTTTTCAGCGTGATGTGATAAAAGAAATGATAAAAAAACTACAACTTAGGCATATTCGACAGTCATGGCAAAACAGGCAAACTGGACACCGGTTTTTGAATAAAAAAGACTAGAAAAACAAAAACAACAAATCTTTTTTCCGTTTTTTTTGCAGAGATGTTTTGAGTTTTTGGTTCTCAAAATTGCGTTATTAAAATTTCAAAAACTAAATACACTTCAAAAACTAATTACATAAAACTAATTACATTAATAAGCATGCTCGCTCGCTTTATTCGATCCAAATTCAACGAAACATCAAAAATTTCAAACCGGTATTTTTCTATACTGGGAAAAAGTTTGGAATTTTTTAAATGTCGGCAGAACCACGCGTGAAAGGATTTTACACAGAGGCGAAGCTTCGCTTTGCAATCATTGGCGAGAACTCAACACAAAGCAGCTCAAAAAAGTGCAATAAAAAAAGTAAATAAGGCTCGAATTAGTAAAAATGTAGCTGCGTCTCGGATTCGATCTGCGATTTACGTAGAAGATTAAGAACAAGTTGACATAATAACTATAAATCAACGAAAAATAATGGCCAATGTATAAATTGCAAGAGACTCGTATACAAAAACAAATAATCTATTCCTTAATAAAATAAATACAGTTAAATCTTCACTATAGTTTGAATTTGCGTTCACTAACTACGTGTCCCTTTAATTCACAAATTGATTCAAATGCCCCTTTATGGAGTTGCGAGGACAAATTCTGGTTTCTGCAAGAAGTTTGATTTTTCCTTTAAAAGTTTTCACCAAATCGAAATAAGATCATTATGATCATCATTGAAAAGCTTTGTCGCAAAGTATTTTTGCTTTTTCGGACTCCAAATCGTGTTTGCGCAAGAGGTGAAGTTTCAACTTGTCCTTGCGAGACACTTGCATGCCGCATATCTCACACGTGATCACTTTGCCAGAGTGCAAAGAGTCGAAGTGTCGCTTAGCAGTGTTGAGCTATTTGAAGAACTGTGAACAAATAGGACATATGAGAGATCCATTTGGCATTCGACCGAACTCCGGCTTCACAGATCCACCTACTGCTTTGTGATTCACAGATCCATCTTCGGCCTTTATAGATTGGACCCTTATTGGCGGCGAAAACTTTGATGCCTGGAAAGTATTCACGCTGACGAAAGAATTGATGTGAGATGATTCTTGCAGCAATGCGCATCAGAAAAGTTGCAAATCAACAATTTGAAAAGCTTTTACCTATTAAATTCAATTCTTTTCAAAAAACCATTTAATTACTAAAATCTTCGAAAATTTAAATTCTCGAAAGTCAATTCAATGGATCGCTATTTTCAATGTATCGATCATCCCTACCATCTATCTTCAGCTTTTTTGCAAATAAAAAAATTCAACTCTCTTACGATTAATTTTCAACTTAAAATATAATGAACAGAGAGTTGAAAAAGTATCAAAGAACGCAAGGAAAATAATTTAAGCTTTATTTACTTATTTCAAAGCAAAAAAAAATGGATGGCCTCAAAGCTCTTTGAATTTCAAGAACAATTCTTAATTAACACTGTTTTGATAAAAAATAAACCCAAGTTGAGGAAACTGGATAAATAGGCAAACTTTTGTACTCCAAAAATCTATAAATTAAAACCCACTTTCGCGATTAGCACGGGTGATAATGGTTCTGAGTTTATCAATGCAGTCGCGTCAAACGCAAAATTACAAAGAATACATTCATCAAAATTCAAAGAATACATTCATAAAAAAAGAGGAAAATGCGGCAAAAAATTTGATTTTGAGGAAAAACTAAACCGATTAGCAAAACAAACCAAACGGTTCGTACAACATTTAACAAACCGATGCACAGCTGGTTCAAGAGGTAAGCAAAACTAGCATCGCAAGATACTTAAACCTACTTTCGTAATTTTGTCAATGCTACCATTTAGCGGCAACTTTCGTTTCACAACTTGATTGATGTGTGACATCGTCTCAACAGGTAATCCCGTCAGTCCTTTTGAGTCAGAGATGCATTGCAACTTGAGGGATCCCACAGAGAGTTGACAGGGATCAGATTCCATGAGAAACAACTGAAGATTCTCCTGCAATTGGAAGCTGCCCAGCAGAGATTCAGTGCACGTCAGTGCGATTGAAACTAATTCAGACATTTCAAAATCTGAAACAAAGATACCAGGTTACTGTGCAAGTAGCACAGAATGTTCCGACCAGTCTTAAAAAATTACAACAAAATTATTTTTCCAATTAGTGTCGTTTTTTGGCTTTTTGTGATAAAGAAATATGAGCGAAAAAATAGAGCTTGGACATTTTCGTCAGTCATGTAAAATATGCAAAAAGGAAAACAATTTTTGAAGACAAATAACAAGAAAAAAAAACAAAGTTAAAATTTTTTTATTTATTTTTTTTTCAAAATTTTTGATTCCTAAGATGAAGCTAAAAACTCCCAAAACTGAATTCATTAGAGTAAAACTAAATTCTCAAGGCTTAAATTAAGCATAGATAATCTTATGTAAGCCTGCTCACTCGCTCAAAATTTAAAGACAAATCAAAAACTTCAAACCGGTTTTTCTCAACACGGGAACTTTTTTGATGTCGTTCGAATCGCGACTGAAAAAGCTTTAATATGATATATCACTCAACCCTGTTCGATGATTATTTGTGGTAGCTGATTTTGCGTGGGAAACAATAAGAAAAAAACTAAAACACACCCGAATACAAATTCAATGATCGGAACAAAAACATGGAAATATAGAGTTAAGCATTCACAAGAGAGTTAAGCAGAAAAAAAATTCAAAACATGACAGAAAAATGATTCGCAGCTAGTTGGTGAAAACTAAAAAAACTGGGTTTCAAAAATAAGGCATAAACTAGTATATTCTAAATCATTCTGATGACAATATTTTGTCCGAGAACAATTCTAGAACTCGATTCCAACTCCCTTCGTAATCGTATAGTCACTTACTTACAAATGACGGAATTTGCAAAACAAACAATGAAATTTGCAAGTTTGACACACAGGCGAAGCTTAACGCAATTTGAAAGTTTAACGCAATAGCGAGAACACGACAAAAAGCAGCTCTATAAAGTGCAATAAAAAAGAGAAATACGCCTCGAATTAGTAAAATTCAGCTTCGTCTCGGATTCATTCTGCGACCTAGTGATAATGACTTTCACGCACTAACCATTCAGCCACGCAAGCTTAATACATCACAAGCACTAGCCATGAATAAAGCAGAGAACAGATCCTACGAAACTTACGATGCTAGATCGTGATTATAGCAAAAAAAGTCACAAAATAAGTGAACACTTTCCACTTTCAAGGAACAATTTTATTTGCGAGTTAGGTTAGAAAAAAAGATAGGTTCTTACTAATACACTACGCTGATGGTTAGTGTAATTAGAAAACTTTTTCAAATTAAGTTGAATATTCCAGGTGTTTTTTTTTTCGATATCAACACTTAGATTTGGTAAATTAATTCAATGATATAACTTGATAAGCGCGATTCTAGTTGAAGCCAATTTTTAAAAGAATAAATCTTAGAAAATTCCTGATTTACTCTCCCGCGGTCAGTTAATTAAATAATAAACAGATCTTCGGCCAATTTCCGCGACTCAAAATGCGCATCATTGCTGAAACGGCTTTTTATGACTCTACACTCAATCCTTTGGGAAATTTGCTTGAAATACCTAATTTTGCGGGAAACGCTCAAACTCTTTTTCACCAAGCGAGTTTTCAGACGGAAACAAGAATTATTTTTAAAAATAGGACAGAAGAAAAAACCTAAGTTGGGGTCAATTATCGCATAGCTTGGACTTTTCCCTCGTTTTAAGCTCAATTCTTATATTTCGATCTTGAGTACTTTAATTGTGAAAAAAATAAACATTTCAGTCCCTGTTACCAATAAAAATACAATTCAAATTCAGTATTCTTTGATATAAAACGAAATTATGTTTCGAAAGATAACATCGGCGAAATAATGTCGCTTAGTGACATGCACGTTATGTCGACATATGTCGTTGGAGCTAAAAGTATTCAACTTCTGAACAAACTTCAGCCTCCAAAACGAATTAATGGTTATTACCTAACACTCAGTTCAAACATCAAAACGTACCCTGGAAGCATTTATAGAAAAGATTAAATAAAGAAAACTTTTAAGAGAAACCCCACTTAAAACCCATTAAAATGACCCGAAATGGTTGAGGGCGCAGTATTTCAACTTTGTCACGTGTTGTTGGGCACAATTTCCGCCCAATTAAATCAAAAATCACGTGAAAGCAATTGTTTACAATGAATTCCAAGACAGGAATCCCGCTGGGGTTTAAGTGAAAACAAAACAGAAACCCGCAGACTTAATTCCTATCCAGACTTTGCTTAGAGCACAATCAAAATTCGAAGTGGTTTAATAACACTCAGAAACGCATTTGACTCACAATTACATAATTTTTCGACTTTGTTCAGTCCAAAATGAAAGGGTAGGTTTACTTAAACATTACATTTTTAAGGAATTTGAGTTGTTCACAGAGTAGACGAAAATTTTTTTTAGAATTCCGTTTCGAAGAAAACAAAAATAGTGCAAAGACTTCAATTATTTTTGTCCAAAAATGCACAACTGCGAACAACAAGAATCTATATTTCCGATTGTAACTCAGTAGAAAATTAGTATTGTGGTAAATGAATTATTGCACATTCTAAAAAATATGAGTTGAATTTGTGAACAGATTTTGGAGTCTGTGGCTAGTCGGGTTGATTTGCCTGCTGGCACCTGCAACCAAAAGCGACTACGTGGAAATGTCCGAGGAATTCCTGGAACAAGTGACTTCACAACTGCAGCAACAGTTGGTCAAACTTGTGCGACAGGTAAGCTTAAAAATCTTCATCATTTTTGGGACTTTGAGAAGATATCTTGTTAGCTAATGAGAAGTCGAAAACTCGAATAAAATAAGTGTGACCATTAGAGTCATTTTTGGACAGTTTTAAGGACATTTAATGGTCAATAATTATCGGGCATTCGTTTTTTTTGGTAAAGAATTCAGTCCCCGTTTCTTGAGGCTAGACTCCAAATTCCCCCTCCATCCATCTTAAAAAACTGACAATTTTATGGATAAATCATTTAAGAAAGAAAAAAGGAATCGTTCTAAATGTAGATTTTTTTGCAAAAAGAATTTGAACATCATTCCACATCTGAAAGTGAACAAAATTTCAACATCTAAAATTTAACAGGAAGATGTTTGAATAAAGTGCAAATGAAATCAACAAAAACACCAGAAGAAAATTGAGCAGATATGCAGGGCATAGCATTTTAGAGAAAATATTGGAACTCAGATACTTGCCAAAAAAAAAGAAAAATGAAAAAATTTGAAGTGGGCAGCCAGGGACGGAATATTTTTCCCTGTTTTCAATTAAATCTCAGGTTTGTGGGGGATTTTATAATTTATAGCCTATAAAGTAATTTGAGAACAACTCTGCGTAAATATAGGCAAATGAGTCGATTAAAGAACACCAAAAGAGCTGGACCATAGAGGCAGAGAACGCGGACAACTGGAGGAGTGAGATAGAGTCACTGGCCCAAAAGAGCAAACAGCACGAGGTAAGGAGGGGACCTTATTAAATTGTACAGAATCAGGGCGGATTTAAGAGGGGGCTGCGTTCCCCGCTAGAAATTCTACCCCTTGGCAACCAAAATTACCCCTTTGGTTCAACATGCCAACATCCTTTTCTGACTTAACTTCAAGGAGGATGCGGGCTTAAGAAACTCCATCACTTGATACCATAATTTTGACTATACTTTTGCACTTTAATTTCAATAATGGGGGGGGGGGGCATCAAGACTTGAAAGTACGAATTGAATCATCAGTTCATACTGCTCATAGGGCTTTCTTTTAATTTTTGGAAATATTTAAAAGACCTTAAAAAATATTTTTTGGGACTTATTTACAAAAATTTTCCTTCTTCGCTGAGCTGAAGACTTCCAAGAGAGCTCGAAAATTCAATAGGGTTGGCCTACAAAATAAAAAAAAAGAAGTGACAATTTTTTTGAAAACCTCTCTCTGGGAAAGCATTTATTGAATTTTACCAACTCAGTTTGAATCCCATCTGCTTAAAATGACCTAAATGGCCAAATAAAGACATCTGACCTTTACAACTTAAGGAGTACCCGATTCTGAGTCAAACAAAAACAAATCTCAATCCAAATTTCGTTCGGAACAAAGAAAAAAATTACGACCACACGCACAAACTGCATATTTTTTTATTGCAGGAAGCACTTGAGAAAGCGAAGAACGACATTCTGCAATATTCTGAGAGCCAGTGCATCCAGACTCTGAAAGTGCGCAAACTGCAATGTCTGGACTGTGTGGCTTCGTCATGCAGCATGTATGCCAGAGAAAACTGCGACTTTGGCGATCTGGAGGAGGAGTCTATTTTGGATAAGATCATCAACTACCTGATGGAGTTTTTCCACGTCCGAAGCAGAATCGACGAGGGGGTTCAGAGGCAATCCCAGTTTGCAATTGAACAGGCCACAAAGAACCTAAGAGGGACGAATAACAATCTAACAAGGACCTAAAAATTGAAAATCGTCAACTATTATTAATTATATTTAAAAACTATATCAAAATTTTATGATTCGATTTGCTTCAATATCTTACCCGAAAAACTATACGACTAAGGTATAAAAAAACCTGAATAAAAAAAGCTTAATAAAGAATAAACGGAAAATAAATTAGTCAATCTATCAAGTAAAAATTCCCCCTGCATTGATTTTGGGGAGATTGGCACTTGATAAGCAATTTACGATTAATTTACAATTACAATAAAACTCACTCTCGCCAAAATAAAAATCCACTGTGTAATTTCGTCCCTCTAACCCACTTGAAGAGACTACCAACAAACTGGTGTATCAACTGGAGTTAGCCAACAGGGCACTGGAGAAGGCGGGGTCAAAGGTCAACCCGGACACCCTGAAGAAAAACATGGAAGAGGTTAGGGACAATTTATTGGCCCAATTTCAAATTTTCAGGTAGATTTTTTCAATCAAGGAAATGCTGTTTTTAATCGGGACCTGTTTTTGATTCTTAGGTCACTACAAGTGGAAAAGCCTACATTAAAGACATCTCGAACAGAATAAAAAGCTCAGAGCTTGTTCTGGACCATTTACTGGAAAAAGACCAACAGACAAAAGAGTAAGTATAATTAACACCTACAATTTGTATGAATGAAAAAAATGCAATTAATGAAAGATTTTGGTAAACTTATTGAACATCAGTGTTAAAATCGAACAAATTGATATCGAGAGCTCTCCTAAATAAGCAAAACGATAAAAATTGACCAATTTGAGGCATGAAAATAAAGAAAAAATAGCGTTTTTTTATGGCGCGCTCACCTCCCTCAACCTTTTTTTTATACATGGAGGCTCAGGGTGTTTTTGGATAAAATTTATAGGGTTCATCAATCAAAAATGAAAGTCATAAGATGATGCCAAAGGAGAAGGAGAATGAGGTAAAGTTAAAATTTTTAAAACCATCCAAAACATTTCAAGTTTTCTCAGCAAAAATCAATAATGACACTTTTTGATCTTCAGGAGTCTCGAACTGGAGATGAGAGAAGCCGAAGAAATGACTGGACTTTCCCGAAGAGCAAGGAGGAAATCCATATTCGCAACTATATGGCACGAAACTACCACCTTTTTGAAGAAGGTCGCGAAGACTGTCGCGAATGCTGTCAAGACCACCGTCTGTTTTGTCTCATTTGGAAAAGCTTGGTGCCCCGGAAAGAAAAATAACCAGGGATCCCAAGAGGTATCGGAGGACTCGGTTGTGAGATTCGACTCAGAGATGCTGGGGTCCCTGCCGGCATGCGCCAAATTGGAGGTAAACATACAAGTTGAATAATCTTTAAAAAACCAAGACCACGGATTCCTTTGCCAACTTTGACAAATAACTAAGTCCAAGCCTGATAGACAGCTGAAACTCAGAACAATCATTAACCTAGCTTATACATCTAAAATTTTGCAGAGAAACGAAGCAAATTCAAACTGCAAAAGTCATTACGTTCAGAGATCTTAAATATTCAGAAATGTTGTCAAGTTTTTATCCTCCGGCGCAGACAACAGAAGCGGATCTCAATTTTTATTCTTAGCCTCCCAAAAGACTATTAAGAACCTTTTCGCTAAATTTTTTTGCGCATCAAGAATGTTTTCAAAAAAAACAGACCAAACAGGCCATTTTTGGACTCTTTGAAATTAGTATGAATTGGTGTCAACGGCGCCTTGAGAGCAATTAACGAGTTGGACAGCCAAAAATTATTGTCGTTAAATAGTATCAAGGGGAGCTTTTGGGCCATGAGGGGGTCAAATCCGTGAGGGGGTTTAAACTCTTGCAAGTCTATATCAGATTGTGGCGTTTGCCAGAATTTGGTCTAAAATTAAAGAAGCCAACTATGCTAATAAAAGCTGCGCCACTTAGCAAAAAATATATCAAAAAATCATTACAAAATTTCGTAATTTTGTTCTGAATGATGTTTGAGAAATACACGACCAGCAATACATACACGCATCGGCGCCGTGAAATAAGTATTCCCACAAAACTAACCAACAAAAATTGGGCGTATTACCGTATAGCCGAAAACAAAATTGATTTCATTGTGGGCTATAGAGCAAAGTTTTGGGCGATGAAGTTCTGAACTTCTAAAATTGTTATACTTTGTTTTCGGGAAGAGGTGGTTAAAATTGTGTTTCCCTTCAACCGACGCCAAGTGCGGTGAATCAAAATCACAAAAGTGCTTACAGCGCAAGAAAATTTATTGCAGCACGTGATGTGGCAACTACTCAGACAATGCAATCATCACACGATGGGCCGGCAATCTTTTTTAAAACGGAATATGTTCGAACTTAATTTTGGTAGTCAGCAAGATCCCTGAGTTGTTTTAGAAGAACCTTTCGCTGTGTCTGTCATTCGTGCCTATGTGTCGTTCCGAGTGCACCTCCCTCGACATGGACTCGGTGTGTCCCCGGTGGCACGAGGAGTGGATGGGGTACAAGAGGGCGTGGGCTATTTCCAGCGCCAATCTGGGAGACGTCTACAGGTAATTACACCTCATCATAGTTAGCAAACTATTCTTTTCTATCTCTAATCGAAATTTTGAAAAACAGGCCAAAAAAGGCGTTTTTAGGCACTTTTTGGAAAACTTTGAACAAAAAATTGCGTTTTTTGGCGCGCGCTCCCCCCTCAAAACTAGTAAATATTGGCGCCACAGGCGCCTTTAGAAAATTTTTAGGGTCCGTCACCAGATATGGATATCTCAAAATAGTACAAAGCCCCCCCCCCCCCCCCCCCCCCTAAATCCGCCCCTGATTAAGACATTTTTTCACGAGGGAAAGGAATTTGGCTCTTGGCGGATAACAGATTTTGTGCTCCAGCTTAAGAACAACAAGTAATTTTTTGACGATTCACTGTCTTCGTTTTTCAGTGAGTTGCAGGAGGCGGAACAGCAGATGCTGGCTGCGATTCAGAAGCACAACAGGGCAGTGGCCCAGGTGCTCAAGGACTACGGGTGGCTGGCAGACCACGCAAGTAAGACTAACATTAACACAACAGACGCTCTTTACTTAACTGCCCGCAAAAAAAATCGCTTTCAGATTTTAGCTCAACTCTCACAAATCGATCAAATAATGAACCAATTAATAAATTTGCCCAGCCTGTTTAGGAGAGCTATCAGTTTAATCGATGTTATGAAAACGCAAATTGATAATTATTTCAGCTGGATCTAACCGCCTAGAAGAGATCAAAGTGCTGTCACTTCAGTTTGACCCCGCCTCCTTCGACTCACAAGTCGTGAACAAGTTCACAAACTCAACCATCAAGGTAACGATTCTCTTTTTAAAAATAACTTGAAAACTAATGAAAAAAAAACATGCTACGAAGGCCAGATGTTTATTTGTTACAACCGCAGAAAAATGTTTTAACTTAAACTCAGAGGCAAAAACCAATACCACAGTGATGAAAAAAAAAGATTATGAACACAGACAATAACAAAACTTCAGCAAAAAAGGCGAATTACGGTCAAAAAATTCTTGGGCAAATCAAAATCTAAGACATACAAAAATTGTACTGTTTGTACTATTTCTAGCTTTATCGACCATAATTATCAACCCGAAAAATTAATAAGGTAAAGATTTTACATAACTCATACCAGTATCTTATACACGATAAAACACAAAAAGGGGGAAAATATCAACAAACCTAAGTCTACCCTAAGTTTTGTACGTCTGTTTTGAATGAAGTTCATTTAAAAAAAAAAACATGTCAAAAAGTCAATTGTGGGGTGTTCAACAGTGCCGAAGTACTACAGTGCCGAAACTGAAAATGTGTTCAACCGTGTCGAAAATTGAGGATATTTGAAAGTGTAGAGTTCTGTTTGCAAATTGTTGGCAATTTGCTTGAATATCGCGACCAAGAAACCAAGAAGAAAATTTGACAATTTGCTGAGTTAATTATTTGTTCAGAAAAATTTATGACGCAGCGATTGGGAATTTTTGCCTTTTCAACTTCCCTCTATTTGAATTAATTTACTTGAGTTTATTTGGAATTAATTTACTTAATTCATTTGGGATGCGTCAAAACGGTATTCAAAGCAATTTTCGGTACTGTTGAACAACATTTTGATTTTCGGCATTGCTGTACTTCGGAACTGTTGTACTGCCCCGCCAAATGCCAACGGTACATGAGTTTTGAAACGAATTTAAGAAAGTGGTAATTAAGCCGACAATACTTAAGCAGGCGCCCGTTGAGCCAAAAAAATTGTCGCCAAAAAATTTCCAAAAAAACTACAAAACATTTTTAAACTTCCTACCGATAAGTAACCACCAATAGTTGTTGATAACGTAAGCATTTTGTTGATAACGTAAGAATTACAAAAAAAGCACTTTTAGGTTGAAGCAAAAGGTGATTAAAGTCTTGTACCCCGTTTTAACCCATATAATGAAGCAAATACATGCAATCAAATTAATTACACAAACGAGAAAAGTACACGTTAACCGACAACACTTTTTCGAATGGCATTGCTCTTTCAAGGTCAAAATGTCGGAGGGAGAGACAGAAACTGTTCACATGAAGGACCTCATTGATCCATACAACGCAAAGGAAGTTGCAGAGGCTGCGATGGCATACATCAAAGAAGCGGAGACGAAGAAACACTTTGCGCAACATGAAGAGATGATCAAGGGGTTCACCAATTGAAACTGCACATGGCCTTAACTTGACTGGCTTCATTTGATAAACGAAATATTGAGCCTGAATGATATTTAAGTAAGAAGCAACCAAAAAAACCTGAAGAATACTTAAGTGAATTCAGATCACGCGTGAAAAAAAAATCGATTTGATGGCCTTATAAAAAAATGAAAGCATGGGTAAACATTTGTATTCAATTTCTGGGCGAAACCTTTCGCAAACTAAGTTTGAAGCAGCATGAAAAACATTTAAAAAGATTTAAATAGCATGTTTAAAATGTAGAATGTTAGAATTGAAAAAGATTAGATTGCAACTTTGTTTTGAACTAATTGTTGACTAAGATACGATGCAGTGGTAGTTAGTTTCTATTCGGTATTATCTTCTCGTTGGAAAACAATGATTGAAAAGGATACGCTTAAAACTAAAAGCTCAACCCAATTTATTGCACTCTGATTTCGTCCGATTTAAAAAAACTCTCATTAACATTGTCAAAGTGTTGGGAAACTTCAAAGTTATGTGAAATAAAATAAACACAAAATAGCATTTTATTATATAATTGAACAACTCGTACCGGCTACAGGAAAAAATTTAACATTTGTTAGCTACTTGCACAACCGGCTATCCTTGTTACTTTATTAAAACTCATAGTTGTAGCCGCTTCGACATCTCAAACAGGAAACAAACTCAAGGTTTGATATAGAGGCGAAGTTGAACTTCACACCACTTGCGATGCAAAATTCAATAACTATAATTAAAATTAAACAAAAAAACCTTCGAAAATTGGTTTTGTCATAAAAAATTATAAAAAGCTGCATGAAAAGCCCAAATATCTGGAAAAAACTGCCTGGACCTAGTAGCGGATTAAGGGTGGGGGGGGGGGGGGTGGGGTATGCTGCGGATGCCCCTCTCAGGGATTCGACCCCCTGCCGACCCAAAGGGTCCCTTTACTAATTTGAGATATCCATTATTGGTGAGGGACCCTAAAAATTTTCAAGAGGCGCGCCTTTGGCGCCAATCTATACGCCTTTTTTGCCTGCTTTTTCACAAATTTGTCTGCGGCACAGAAAATTTGGTCAAATTAGGCTCTTTAAAGTAATTTGAGAGAGCTCAGAAAATCAATTTGGTGGACCTAAAAAAAGCCACGAAAAAAGCCACGAGATGAATGAGTCTAGGAGATGAGTCCTCTGAACAAATTTATTAACGGAAAAAGTCTAGAACCCGATTGCAATACCCTTGCGTATTGCAAGGGTAATAATTGAAATTCACTCTACCGTTAGCTTAACTCGCCATGCTTATGGTGTTTTAACTCCTGGGAAATAATTCTACCTATTTTTTACTGATCAATCTTAATAATCGACACTTACAACTAATAGAAATTGAGAACACTAAAACTCCTACAAGATACTGCATTTGCTCGACCAAACAATCTACATCAAAAATTCACATTATCAGACTAAACGATTCCCTTCATACTATAACGGCCTTAAAGAGTTCACACTTGCCGCTTGAAAACTTCATTCGGTACTCATCATACTGTTCATTATGACGCTCATAAATATGAGAGAAAAGTGCCGATCTTTTACTACTGATTGTCAAATCACAAATCGGACAAATCCGTTCCAGGTGAACGGTTTGCACGTGATATAGAGCCCAGTAGCAATGCAACGATTGAAAACTTCTTGGTAAAATGCATAAATGGCAAAAAAACTTCTCGTGTTGCATGAACAAACGACGAAACAGAGTCGAGAAGCCTCTCAAGGTTACTACAGTTCCTATCGACAAAGTTTTCTCGAATTGAGAAGCTTCTTTGTAATCGAAATGGGGTATCCGAGCAATTACTGGCATCGGTAAATTGTCAAATTTAGGAAAATCGGCCTTCAACCCTTCGTACAGAAGTTTTGCGCGGCTGCTACGCAATGATCGACTAGAGTTCAAAATTGCATCTTTTGCAGCATCCTGGAAAGTATTTTTGTTCACACGTTTCGATTTCCCCTGAAAAAAATCTTTCGTCATTTTGCGCTTTCGTTTCAAATATCGCTCGGTTCGGATCTGGGCTTCCCTGGTCTTGAAGCGTGCCAATGCGAGCGATGATTCAGAGACATCAGAGTCACGTGGTACCTTGAAAACACCAGTCAGTTTCCAATTGACGCTACATTGAACGCATTATTTTAGTAGCAAAAAGTTGGAGCAGACAGAAATAACTAAAAAGAGCAGTCTGCCAATTTTCAGCAGTTTTTTGGATACAAATTCGAGATTTTGGGTGACCTTGAGGCATCCTTTCTGTCTGAAAAACTAAATTTGCATGCAAAAGTTTTCTTAAATGAATCATTTGATCTTTTTAAATAAATTTGTCTGTTCCAACTTTTTGCACTCTCAAATACTTGGGCGGAAAATGACTCTTATAGCTATGAACTGATGTATTGAATACAGCGAAAACGTTTAAAAATTGGCACGAGAAACTGAATTTTGTTTGCAGTCCGATTTCCAACTAGCAGCCTCAAAATGAAGTCGCACTCGAATAATTTTGTTGCTTATTCGTGGTACCTCAGCTTGCGTGGACCCTGAATAAAACAAACCCGAACCCAAATTTCTTCTAACTAAACGTTCGGAAGGACTTCTTGGAAAACTACACAAGCAGATATGCTAAGCCTGCTTGGTAAATTATTGTTGTGCCCTTTTTTCTAATTTTAATCCTCTTTTTAAAATTTGAACACAGAGAGCCTGTTACGCTTTGCGTACAAACAGGACCAGAAAAAAAAGTTGAAAAAAACTTTTACCGGAGATTTGAGGAAGAAAACATTTTAAGAACAATAAATTCGTTTGAAAAAAATGCATGTAGGCCTGATTCCTGATAAAACTTCACATGCTTACGGTTATCAGAAAGCGTTGAGAATTCTCTATCCCAATGTTTGAAATACTTCACTTACCGAGTCATCAATTTTGACGACAACGTCTTTCATTATTTGCATTGAGCTTTTCGCCAGATGGGATTTCGGACTTCTTTCAACTTTGACTGATTTTGGGTCCAATTCAGTCTGATTGTTGTTTAGATTCCAATCACTCAGCTGAAAATCTTGATTAGTTTTGTCTTTGAAACCATTCGTTAAATCGTTTTTGATTGATTCTGAAGATTTATTGAAGTTAATTAAACTTGATTGAAAGTCGGTCTCATTTCCATGTCTCGACAAACTGTGATATTTCGCAATTTCAAAGCCACTATCTTGAATCACGAAACCCGCATTGAGCCAGTCGGTTTTAGTTTTACTGCCAGAAGCTACGACTTTTCGAGAAAACAAGTTCTCAAAATACCCATAGCAAAACACCAACCAACCTTGTCGATATACTGTTTTAAGACTCAAATACTATCCGTTTGATTTTCTGAAAACTATGCATTGTTCTGACCCTATTTATGAAAAAAATATGTTGAGTTAGGGTGTTTTTTTCTCGCTAAGGGGAGAAAAATCTGAAAATCGTTTGAAGTGTATTGCCATATTACACTTCTGCAGTTGCGAAACAAACAGCTGTTATTTTGAGCTGCTTAGACAAAAGCAATAGTAAATCAATCCTGATTTGTTAAAACTCATACTTAACCAGGAAATTGCAGTCAGGAAAACAGCTCGAAAAAGATTCAGTCCAACTTGTCTGATAGAATGCAGAAAATGAAATAAACACAGAGACGAAGCGGAGCTTCGCGTCACTTGCGATACAACGAAAGCGTACCATTGCAAGCTACTAAATGGTCAGTGAGATGGAAAATTTTAAGTGGAAAAAAACTTTATAAAAAGACTGGATATTTGAAAAATTCAATCACAAAAAAAACATACGAGAAACACAACTACTAGCAATGAGCAAGCTTTCAGCATTTACTGAATGTCCACTAGGCCGACAACAAGTAGTTGGAGGCCAATCGATTCGAAAACAAAAACGCAAAAAGAAATTATCATAAGAAATCATCATTTTTTTTGAAAACACGAACAAATCAATCTCAGAAAAAGACAAAAAACACAACCACAATCATTATGCAAGCTTCTAGTGTTTTTCGAGCATCCACTAAGCCAACAACACGTGGTTAGACGCCAGTTGATCCCAATAAAAAAATACCAAATGAAATGATTGGCATAAAAATCAACTTTTTTTTTGAAATACAAAAATTCAATCTCTGAAAAACAGACGAGAAACGCAGCCACTAGCAATTAACAAGCTTTTACTGTTTTCAGCGTCCACTAAGCCAACAACATTTACTTGGACGACAATCGATCCGGAAACAAAAACGCCAAAGGAAATTATCATAGAAAATCAACATTTTTTTGAAAAAACGAACAATTCAATCTCTGAAACACAGACGAGAAACGCAACCACTAGCAATAAACAAGCTTTTAGTATGCTAAAGCATTCACTACGCCGAGAACCCGTGATTTGACGCCAAGTGAACCGAAAACAAATATAACAAAAGAAATGGTTGTCATAAAAAAATTTTGAGAAAAAAAGTTTGAAATTTTACCTTTTATACTTCCAGCCCACCTGATTTATTAAAAAAATGAAAAAACATTTTTTATGCTTTAACTGATGCAAAACAAATTCACAAAACCAACAAAACAAGAGACGAAATCATTTTGGCCGAAAAAAACTTATAAGCGAAAAAAAAATAAAACAGTTCATTTTCAGAGACTGAAAAAAAAAACGTCCGGCCGGGACTCGAACCCCCAAACATTAGGTTTCAAAGGCAAATGCATTACCTCCAAACCAAGTGCAACGTGCATCAAATTACGTCAACGAATCCAAAAACGCTTTGAATTAGAAAAATATCATACAACACAAGAACGTGTGGCAACTAAGCCAGCAAACCATAAGCAGACAACCCATAGGCCGATCCATTTTTATACTAAAATTTTTAGAATTGAATAAAAAGAGGTGGTGGTCGGATTCGAGCGTAGTCCTTAAGCTGTCTACTAGATTTCGTACCCAGTAGTTAAAATTGAACTTTCAAGAACTGAGCATGTTTGCTGCAAAATTGAATGTTGCACAAATGATTCAGTGACTTTGTGTTAAACTAGTCGTTAAGCCGAAAAAAAATCTTTTTCCAATTTTATCACGCTTGCTAGTCGCAAGCGTATTGAAATATGGACTAAGAGGCGAAAAAGCTCAAATAAGGGGACCACAAGGCTCACTTTTGGAAAAAATTTTATTCTTGAAATATTTAACATCCCTCGAAATTTATTGATAAGTAATTAAATTGCAACCTCGCCAATTGACCACAGATGAGAGATAAACAATATTCGAAGACTAAATTGAAAAAGTCGGATCTATTATGTCTTTTG